CGGTTCCCTCTGGCTTTTGGGGATTACCTGTGCAAGTCCTTTGGTAACTCATAATTTTACTTATTTGGGGGCTAAATACGGAATCGTTCCAAATGCTAAACAAACATTTAGTACCAAAGAAAAAACTAAGTATTTAGTGAAATATTTAGGAGCAGAATTGCTGGGTCACAAGCCGAGGTGCTTCCAGTGTTATTAAAACCCCCCTGAAGCCCCCAAAGGAGCTGAGCCGCTTTGCACCCCCCCGACCACACTGAAGATTCTGCTTTCACGTTTTCGCCGGCGTTGGGTGAGTCAGCCCTTAGTTTAGCTGTTCCAGTGGGTGTGAAGCCTCAGGACACCTTGGCTGTGCGTGGCACCTCTGATGACTAATGGTGTAGAACACCTTTCTGTGGGCCTGTTGGCCACTCTCACACACATGTCTTCTCTCATGAAGCACCTGTCCCCACTTGGAGCCTATTTTTTAATTGGGTTGTTTGCTTTTTGCTGTTGGTTTGTTGTTCTTCATAATCCTGCGTGCGAGCCCTTTGGTGGGTATGTGTAATGTAAAGGTGTTTCTTCTTAAACTTTTTTTTTAACGTTTTTAAATTTATTATTTAAATTTATTATTGAGAGCTTGAGCAGGGGAGGGGCATGGGCAGGGAGAGAGACAGAGACACAGAATCTGAAGCAGCTCCAGGCTCCGAGCTGTCAGCACAGAGCCTGACGTGGGGGCTCGAACTCACGGATCGCAAGATCATGACCTGAGCCGAAGTCGGGCGCTTAACCGACTGAGCCCCCCAGGGGCCCCTGAAGGTGTTTTTTCTTAAAGTGCAGTCTGACTCATCATCCCGTGGAAAAATGGTAACTCAGAATTCATTAGTAACTCATAACTTATTAACAGTAAAAGAGAAAAGGAACTCCCATTGCACAATTTAGATCCTCTGAAATGTACCAAGGCTTCTACATTACGGCCCACACGTGGAGTGTGAGCAGGGACGGTCCGTGGCCCTATGCGTGGAGGGTGGAGGGTGGCCTTCCGTGGACATGTGCTGCCTCATTTCTTTTCAAATCTGCATCTGTACCGGCTCATTGTCCCATTGGCTGCCGTGCGAGGCCCAGGGAGAGGTGAGGCCCTATGACCTTCCACACAACAGTTCTCTCTGCACCCCCGGAGGCCGGGGCGTTCCTGGACCCCCCGGGGGCTCTAGACTAACTAAGGGGGCCTCTGGGCAGGAAGCAGGACATCGACACAAAAGGAAGAGTTTGTGTGCGCAGAGATTTGACGATGCTTTGCTCCTTCCTGGCCTTGAGGAGGAGGAAGGCCCGGGTGCTGGGAATGCGGCTCTAGAAGCAGGTAAGGAGGCAGGTCCTCCCGAGGGAGGGTCCTGCTGCTGCCTTGGTTCGAGCCCGAGGAGACGGCTCTCAGACTTCTGAGCCTCAGAGCCGGAGAGGCCGTGTGTGCTGGGCGGAGATGCCCTGGGGCAGAGAGGGGGGGGGGCGGGGGGTGAACGCAGAGCCCGTGAACCCACTGCCCAGAGTCCTCCGACCAGAGGCGGGAACGTCTGCGCAGCTGTGGCCCGTGCCCACGCTACCCCCCTGAGACTCCCGGCCACCACCCCCGCCTCCTTGCCCATTGGTCCCCACCCCCACCCCACACTTGCCCCAGGCCCAAGCCACCTGCTGGGTGTCTGCAGCCGGCACATCCTGATTTCAGGGAGAAATCTTCCTTTTCTGGGTCACGGGGCCCTTTGTGGATGGAGAGCAGGCAAACGGCCCCCTCGCTGAACCCCGCCGGGGACACCGGGGCAGGCTGTGGGGAGAGCCGGTGCGGCAGACGCTTCCAGAGCGCATTCCCTCCACCCGGAGGTCCCCGTGGCTGCAGCCTCCACACCCCCACTGCCCCCGTGGGAGCTCGGCATCCATTCCGAGCTTGCCCGCACCAGCGGGGGAGGAGCGGCGGCCAGTGTCCTGTCCCCCGCGGGGCCCCGCCGGGCAGAGTGCTGCTGGGGACACCAAGACCCGGGTGTCTCTGTTCTTGTTCCAGGCATGTGGTGTTCCTTGCTCCAGGTGGCTGGCAGCCATGCCACGTGTGCCCAGACATGAGACTGCAGTTCAGGGAAACCGAGGCAGGGAGCTGGGGCCTGTAGTGTGGGTGGGACTGTGAGGGGTGGGGGTGAGTCTGGTGACACAGGCAGGGGGCAGGGGGCCGGTGTCCTGGACACTGCGGGGTGTCACTGGTGGGGGGGGCCAGATGTGTGTCCCAACGCAGACCACGGGCCAGCCACCTCTTCACACGCCATCTGGTTAACACTTTCCTGCCCAGGATGCTGTCCACGGCTGTAGGTCGGCCAGCTGTGGATTAACCAGAAGCCCCCAGGCCCTGGGGCTTACGTGGGGACTGCCCTCGCCTGACCCCGGCTTCCTGGGACTCGGCTGCTTCCCTCTCCCTTGACCACGTCCACAGAAGTGGGTTGGCGATTGCCGGGGGGGGAGGCCAGTGAGTCTCCCGCCCCAGAGCCCATACCCCAGGTAACTCTCGCACCTCGGATAACTGCCAGGGTTTGGGGGCCAGAAAAGGGGCTTTTCTGCCGTGGTCCACACGACACCTGGCCTGGCATTCTTGGGAGGGTTGTTGTCAGTGCATCAGGGGAGGAGGGTCCGCGGATGGCCCTGGGGGGGCAGCGTCCCCATGCCTGTTGACGGTCCTGGACGCGGCGTGCAGGCCCACCTGACCTCCGTCCTCCGCCTGCACCTGCTGTCGGAAGGAGGCCCGGAGAGCGGCCTTGCCATCCGCAGCCACCCCCCGCCCCTCCCCGGGCATCCTGTGTCTAAAGCTCTGGTCACAGCTCGTGGTGCCCTGGAGTCGTGACAGGCGATAAAAATGAGCGTGAACGCAAAGCGGCCGCCGCGTCTCAGTTCTGCTCTGGCCGCACGTCTGTCTGGTGGTCATCTCTCCCAAGGGCGTCCTTGCTGCCCTGGTCTGTGCGGCCGCCGACCCTCCTCCAGCCCCGCCCGTCCGTCTTGGCTCTGGGCATCGTGTGTCCCAGGGCTCAGACCCTGGTGCGTCTCAGGGGGTTCTGGGCGCGGCCTTGGGCGGCTGGCCGAGGCCCAGCCCCGTTTCCCTGGCCTCCGCTGACCTGCGCCTTCTCGGGCGATAGTGCGCGTGGGGGGATCGCCCCGGTTCTGGAGGGCAGTGTCTCCTCTCACGTGGGGCGTCGGGTTCTGAGTGGGCGGCTGACGCGTCGGCTGCTGTCACATCGTCTTTAGCTCTGAATATTGTAAACAGCCGTCACGCCTTCCTTGTTTCGGGCCGATCTGCTGGCTGTGGACCAGCCTGCCGCGCTGCCCAGGGGCAGGGTCTGCCGGGCCCGAGCAGAGTCTGCGCTTTGTTGGCTCTTCGAAGTTTTTCTTTGGTGAATTGCTTTTCTTTGTAGCCCTTGTGGGTGGGGAGCACACTTGGGAGTTGGCCTGGCCGTGGACCCAGGGCAGGGAAGACGTGGTCCCAGGGAAGCCGCTCGTCAGAGCCATGGGGGAAGGGACCCCCAATCCCTCAGCTGCTGCATGTCCCCCAGCGCCCACGTTGGGGGGTGAGGGCGCGGCCTGTGCCGTGTGCTCTGGGGCAGTTGTCCCAGCGGCCCAGTGGGGGAGAAAGACCTCACCTTCCACTGGGCGCCGCCGCTGCCTCGGGCAGGATCCCCAGGTGGCCTGTGGGCCCCGCCCCCACCCGCAGTGGGGGGACTCGTGAGCTTGCCCTGGCCCTCGCTCATGGAGGGGGTGCTGGGAATGCTGGGCCGCTAACTTTCTGACCTGCTCCAGGTCTCCCCTCTACCCTGATGAGAGGAGCCCCCAGCTCCTACCCCTTGCGCCTGCGCTGTGACCGGGCCCCAGCTGGACCCTGGGGGGCGTCTCAGGGTGTTTGGGGGATCGAGGTGCAGTCACATCACTGGGAGGAGGCACAGGACAGAGTTGCAGCCGGTGGTGTGGACCCAAGTGGGACCTGTGACCCTACCCCCCGCCCCCGCCACTTCCTCATGAAGACCACCCTCTCTTCTTAGATACGGGGCTCGCAGTGAGGCTGCCTCCACCCCTGACTCTCAAGGACACGCGACTCGGGCCTGGCCACTGAGAGGAAGCGAGAGCATCACCTGTGTCCGTTTGGAGACGAATGCAGGAGGGGCCAGGACCTGGTAAGGCCCCTGCGCCACAGAGAGCGTGAGGTCACTACCCCGCTCCTCCAGGAAGGGGGGGTGGGCTGGGCTGCTGGCAGCCAGAGTGGAGCCCGAGAGTGGGGTCAACGAGGAGAGAAGAAAGAGGCAAGAGACAGAGAAAGATGGTCTTTCTGCCCCTGGATACAGCCGTGCCTGCAGGCAGTCTGCCTGAGCTGGTTTCTCTTGTGAGAGTCGACACATCCCGTGTACTGCTAAAGCCACACGTGCGTGTGTAAGATTTTCTGTTGTTTCAAGCCAAGAGAGTCCTAACAGACACGCGTCTGCACATTTGAAGGAGTGGAAGCGTAATGACCGTGTGCCAGCGCTTGGCAATACGACTGAGTTCTGTGACCACTCAGCCTTGGGGGGTCTGGCTCCTTCTCCGGTGCTCTGATTGGGGGTGACGTTTTCATCTTTTCCTTTGCTCGTTTTTGTAGCCCCAGAAGGAACTTTGACCAGGCAGGCATCTCTTGCAGGAACATGCTTTATTGTGCAAGGAGGGGCCGCGGCGTGGGGGGGTGGGTACGGAGCATGGGGCAGGGGGCCCTGCTGGGTGGGGCTGGGCTGGGCAGGGCCACTCCCGGAAGCGCAGGTGGGTGTTCTCGGTGGGATCCCTGGAGGGTTTGCAAGGGGAGGAGGGCTGAGCAGAGGGCTGCAGAGCCTCCGGACCCTCAGGTCTAAGTCCCCGTGCACCGGAGACCCCGCTTCCTGGCTCTCTGTCCGTGGGGGGTGGGGGGGGCCAGGTCCAGGCCCCAGAGAAGCCCGGCGGGGCCCAGCTTCAGGGACGCAGCCCTAGGCCCTAGGCCGACGACCCTAGTTTCTGAACATCTCGCAGCGATCTGAGGGGACACAGTGACCCGGAGTGAGCCCCTGCCCAGCCCCAGCCCACCTGTGGCCACTGGGCAGCCGCTGAACCCAGGGGTCCCGAGGGAGCGGAGAGAGGAGCCTTACCCTGAGGGCTCAGAACCACCGTCTGCTCACTGTCCAGGCCGAGGTCTTCACAGAAGGACCTGAATTCCTTCAGGAACTCCGGGCATGTGACCTGGTCCCGGACTGTGGGGAACAAGGGTGGGGTCGGCATGGGGCCCTGCGGAGGGTGGGGGCGGCCGCCTGGGGGCTCCGTGGGCTGTGAGGGGCCTCTCTCCCTGGGACAGAGAGGAGCATCCATGTTGTGGTGAGAAATCTGGCTGGTGTGGGAAGAGAGAGACTCCCCCTTCCCTGGGGAGGAGGCGGGAGGAGGTGACTGTCCCCTCTTCCCGGTGCCTGCAATCGCGTGGAGGCGGAGTCCTGGTCGCGGGACTGTCCTGGTGAGAGGCCTCGGGGTGTGTGTGCAGGTGCGTGGGGCGCGGGGACTGTGGTGGGAGGCTGGCCAGGGTCTGGCCCCTGACCCCCCTCTCCTGCTGGGTGGGCGACGGGCCCCGCCCCCCAGGGGCTGGGTGGACGCCTGGTTCCAGGGGCTCCTCAGTCCACACGTACCCAACATGTAGGCCAGCAGGCTGGTCACACCGTGGTAGCGGTTGATGATGTAGTGAATCAGGTAGTTCTTGGGCTTCACCTTTGCCAGGTAGATATCGTTGTGTCCCCAAACTGTGGAGGTCATGGGGGCTGATACAGGCTGGGAGGTGGGTGCCGCCCAGCGCGGAGACCGCAGACCCCTCCCCGTGCACAGGGGCTGCGCAGCCTCGTGGGGACGGGAGCCCTGCCCCCTGAGAGCAGCTGCCACTCCCAGGGACAGCTGGGGGCCTGAGCCCGGTGCCTGCCCGTCCCACAGCCATGGACCTGCTGGGTCCTTACCACGTGGCTCTGAACCCCAGGGCCAAACCCCCGGGTGGGGCCGTGCCCTTGCCTGCTCATACTAACACGTAATGGTGAATTGGGTTTTGTGATGAGTCTTGAGCGCAGTGATGAACTGTCTCCTGTACTTGGGTCCTTCCCTGCAGACAAAGGGGGCGGGATAACTGTCCAACTGCCCTTTTCCATTTCTTTTTAATTTTACTTGCTTACTTACTTGTTTAATGTTTATTTATTTTGAGAGAGAGAGAGAGAGAGCATGCGAGCAGAGGAGAGGCAGAGAGAGAGGAGAGAGGGAATCCCAAGCAGGCTCCTTGCTGTCAGTGCAGAGCCAGTTTCGGGGCTTCAATTCAGAAACCACGGGACCATGACCTGAGCCAAAGTCAAGAGTCGGACGCCTAACTGACTGAGCCACCCAGGCGCCCCATCACGTTTTAAATGGAAGTACAGTTTTCCCACGCTGTCCATGCAGGGTTCTAGGAATTTGACAAAGGCATCAGTGGATCCCTTGAAGGTGACCTTGGCCCTCCAGGTCTGGCGCCCTCTGATGCCTGGACCAAGTGCATCGCAGCCGCTGAGGGGGCGCCCCAGTGACGGCAGCCCTGCCTGCACACACCCAGGTCCCAGGGCTGGGGACCCCGTGTCGAGAGGAACACACAGCAGGGACCCCCGAGGCTTGTCCCGCGGAGCAAAGCGCCCCCACCCCTCCCTGGGCCCGACCCGACCCCTGCACCCACAGCACGAAGATCTCCCCATGCAGGTTGCCTTCTGCCTCGGTTACGGTGTTGACAAAACCCTGAAGTGGCCGTGGGGACCGATCAGAGCCGAGTTGTTGGAGGCCATGGCGGCAGAGTACCAGCTCCCAGACAGCTGCGGGTGGAGACAGGGTGCGGTGAGGCCCGGGCCTCGCCCTCCTTCCCCCCCCCACTGTGCCCGGAGGGTGCTCATGCCACACCCAGAGATGCCCCGTGCTGCTGCTGGGGACAACGGACTCAAGGACAGTCCCCGAGTGCTGCACCTGCCTCTTCTCGGGCCAGCGGGCGTGTGTGTACAGGAAGGAGGGGGGCCCCGGCTTCCCTGCCCAGAGCCTGCCCTCTCAGCTCGGGGGGATTCTTCACTCCTTCTGGAGGAACTCAGGGCTCCTTCCAAGACCGTGCTGGGGACCGCAACCCCCACACCTGCCCATGGACTTCCCCCAGAGACTCCCCCCACACCCCGCAGACTTGCCCTGAGGCTCATTCACAAGTCCCCGAAAGTGGTGCCCGGCTCCGCCCCTGTGTCCCGCCCCGGTCTGCGTGTGGTCAGCCAAGGGCCGTGGCTCCCGGCGGCGGTGGGCGGGGCTGACTTGGGGGCCGCGGTGCACACGCCTCCGCCCTGCGTCCTGTGCACAGACCCAGAGCGGGAGGGTCTGGCCGCCTGGAGGCTGGCGTCCTGCTCCCTGGAGGAACCCCGAGACAGCCTGCGACACGGGGCCTCTGCCAGGGCCGGGCCACCCAGTGTCCGCGACCCTCACCCCGGCCCCGACCCCCGGGAGCACGTATCCCTCGTACCCCTGAGGTCTCACCTCCACCACGTCTTTCCAGGACTCCTCGTAGCTCTCGTGAGCCTGGAGGCCCCAGAGCAGCGCCAGGCCCACGGTCAGCAGCGGGAGCAGCATGTCCACGGCACCGCCTGTCTGGGTTTGGCGACAGCCGGGACTTGCGGGCTCTGCTGGCCAGGGCCCCATGGCCCATCTATATAGCTGCATGGTTGGGGGTGAGGTCACCTGCCAAGAGCTCCGCCCTGTCCCTGCAGGCGAGTGGGGACTCTTCAAGCTGATGTCTTAATCTTGATCTTCACCTTGGCCAGCAACTGTGTGTTCTCTTCGTTGTAGCTTTGGCACCAAACATGCCATGCTGCCGCACAACCAGTTTCCAAAATCAATAACCATCCATGGGCCGAGCCAACTTCCTGGGCCCGAAGGGTACCCGAGTCACCTTGGCGTGCCCTCTGTGGCTGCCGCGGTGCCGGGCCGCAGGGGTGAGGCCCTGGGCTGGAGCGGTGGGTGCCGGAACCCCATCACAGAGTGGCCTGCGGGCCCCAGGAGCATGGCTCTCCGCAGAGCGAGGATGGTGACTGAGGTCTGCTGTGGGCTGAAGCGGGAACCCCCAAAATACAACCCCGGGGCCTCAGATGTGACCTTGTGCGAGGCAGCATCACTGCAGCAGTGATTAGTCGAGACGTGGTCGGGCCCCAGCTGTTGTGCGCGGGGTGGCCCTGATCCAGTAGGACCGGGGCCCTTGTGCGCAGGGATGTTCCGACCGGAGATTCACACAAGGAGACACCACGTGAAGGCCGGGGAGGGGGGGGGGATGCTGCCACAGCCACGGGACCCCCAGGAGCTGGAAGACTCCCAGGGGGCAGATCCGGGCCAGCCCCTCATCCCAGGCTTCTGGCCTCCAAACTGGGAGAGACTGAATCTCTTTTGTTTAACCCCTCATCTTGGTTCCTGCCCCTGAGCAGACCTGACCGGTGCTCCCCGTGCCCCCGGGGGCCACGGCCCTGGAGCCACCATGCCGTCCCCTCTGCCAGACCTGAGGGCTGGCAGGGCCACGTGGCGTGTTCCCTGGGGGGGTCCCTGCCCACGCTTCGGGACCACATTGCAGAGAATCCAGGGCCTGGGGTCTACTCTCCGCCCCACCCCACTACCCGCCTCAGAGCTGGGCCGAGAGGTCCCGTGATGAGAAGCAGCGGTCCTCTCTCCGGGGTTCAGGCCAGCGGGAGCGGAGGGAGCAGGGTCCCATGGTGACCGCTGACCCCCAAGCTTGGCTCATCCCCCACAGCTGTCACCCGCGAGCGACCTCCCCACATTGCCGTGAGCCACGTATCTGGCCCTACTGGTGGCAGCTGGGTTCTCTGGGAGGTGATGGAGTGTGTGTGGGGGGGCAGTCTATGGGGGCGTCAAGGGCTGAACGGTGTCCCCCCAAAGATGCATGGAAGTCCTCACTCTCAGGAGCTCAGACTGTGACCTTACTTGGGAACGAGGTTTTGCAGATGTAACGGAGATGGGGCCGTGCTGGCCGAGGCTGGGCCAGGTGCCCTTGCGGGAAGAGGGGAGGTGATGTGTGCGGGAGGCAGAGGCGGGAGGGATAGGGGTCCCAGCCCAGGGCCCCCCAGGTCACCCGCATGCCCAGAGGCTCGGAGCGGGCTGGCATGGGTCGTCCAGGAGGGCTGCGGGGACGGTGAGAACACGCCTCTGACTGCTAAAGCGGCCCAGCCCGTGGGAGCTGGGTGCGGCCGCACCACGACCTGGGCCCAGAGGGGGAAGCAGGGGTGGCCGCAGAGGCTGGGCCACAGCGCCGCGCTGACCCCCACAAGAGCGGACGGGTGTAGGGGCGCCTGGGTGGCTTAGTCGGTTAAGCGTCCGACTTTCGCTTAGGTCATGATCTCGCAGTTCGTGGGTTCGAGCCCCGCATCGGGCTCTGTGCTGACTGCCAGCTCAGAGCCTGGAGCCTGTTTCAGAGTCTGTGACTCCCTCTCTCTCTGACCCTCCCCTGCTCACACTGTCTCTCTCTCTCTCTCTCTCCTAGAAATAAATAAAACATTAAAAAATTAAAAAAAAAAAAAAAGAGCAGACGGGTGCCTCCGCGGACGCCGCCACACGTGTGGAAGGGGACCCACCCCAGCCCACGCGCCTCCCCCAGGGTGAGATCTACCACCCTCGGTGTGTGTCCGCGGTGACGGCAGAGACCTTGTTAGCTTTCTCCGCCTCGTGGATTCCTGAAACCACAGCTGCTAATTCCTGTGTTTGGGCCACATTTATCGAGCGCCTGTGTGAGCACGCGGGAGACCCCGCAGGACCCCCTGGAGACCCCCAGGACCCCAGGAGACCTCAGCGCATTACAAATGCTGAGTTCATGGGACACCTGGGGGCTCAGTCAGTTAAGCGTCCGACTTCAGCTCAGGTCATGATCTCGTGGTTCGTGGGTTCGAGCCCCGTGTCGGGCTCTGTGCTGACAGCTCGGAGCCTGGAGCCTGTTTCAGAGTCTGTGTCTCCCTCTTTCTCTCTGCCCCTCCCCCACATATACTCTGTCTCTCTCAAAAATAAATAAAAACAAAAACAAAACAACAAATGCTGAATTCCACGGAGAAAAGGACTCAGGAAGTTGGGGGGCACTTTTGGGTTTGTTTCGAGAGGGAAGGGTTGCCTGAGAAGGTGCCCTGGGAGCGGGGAGGGGGGGGATGGTCTGTGACCATCAGAACCCACATGGCCCAGCGAGATCTCACTTTACGTTTTTCTCGAGGGACATTTCCAGGAGATTAGAATCCTGGTTTGTGTTTATTTTCCTTCCAGCCTTTGTGGGTGCTGGTCCGTGTGCTCTGTCCCACGTTGCCTCTGAGGAAAAATCACGCTGGCTCAACTGTTTCTGGTTCCTAACGTGTCATCAGGACCGTTGGTCACCCCGTGTGTCTGCGGGTGGTTTCTCCTGTTTATTCTGTTTGAGATTGCATCAGTTCTGGAATCTATGAACTGACATCTTTTGCTAAATTGGTGATCTTTTGGTCTGTGTTTTTTTTTTTAATTTTTAAATGTTTTTTATTTTTGAGAGAGAGAGAGAGAGAGACAGTGTGAGCAGGGGAGGGTCAGAGAGAGAGGGAGACACAGAATCCAAAACAGGCCCCAGGCTCTGAGCTGTCAGCACAGAGCCCGACGCAGGACTTGAACCCACGAACCACGAGATCATGACTTGAGCCAAAGTCGGACGTCCAACTGACGGAGCCCCCCAGGCGCCCCCAGGGGAGCTTAAATTAGATCCGTATACAGTGAGTTCTGGGATTTCTGTTTGTCTCCTTTTATAGTTTTTATATTTCTTCTGGGATCTGCCTTGTTCCCGTTCCTCGCGAGCATGTTTCTCCTGCTGTGCACACATATCGTTGTGAGCTGTGCCAGGGTCCTGTCCGGAAACCTCACCATCGGGTTTCTCGGGATTGGCTTGTCCTTGGTGCGCTTGCTGCTCAGGATTATATCCAAGACCCCACAGGGGATGTGACAGCTGCCGGGCTCGGCTTGTCACCCTCGAGGGCTTGTAGCAGTCAGCGTCCTTGGCTGCATTCAGCTGCATGGTTTGTTTGCTGGGACACAAAGGTCCACCCCTTCCTTGAGGGCCTGGCTGGCTGCACATCCTGTCCTAGGAGCCAGCAGAGAGGTGCATGGAGCACACGTGCAGATTTGGGGCTCCCCCTCCTTGCCAGAACCCCACTGCCCTGGCCAGTCCCCGGGCCTCCTCCAACTCATTCCCAGGTCCTCCAGCCGGGAAGATGGAGCGTTTCTGTGTGAGTGACAGCCGCTCCGCCGCAGCTGAATGGAGCCTGTAGAAAGCAGGGAGGGGGAGGGGCAGAGGGGGAGGGAGAAGGGGGGAGGGGCAGAGGGGAAGGGAAAAGGGGAGGGAGAGAGGAGAGGGAGACAGGAGGGGGGAGGGGGAGAGAGAAGGGGGAGGGAGAGAGAGAAGGAGAGGGAGAAGGGGAGGGGGAGGGGAAGGGAGGGAGAGGGAAGGAAAAAATGGCAGCTCATTCTTCTTCCAAGTGTCAACTGTGTCTAGTTCCGCTGCCTTATGGCCCCCCTCCTGTCCCTTCAGATACCTGTTCATCTCCTTCCCAGACTTGTGAGTTAGCTCTACGTGTGTGTAGGGGCGGCGGGGGGGGGGGGGGGGGGGGGGGGGGGGGGTTGCTCCACGTTACCGGAAGCAGAACACAGGCTCTCGTTTGAAGGGGAACTTGCAGCCGGCGGGCACGGACGACACACAGGGTCCTGCTGGGGGACTGGCTGGGGGCCGTGGGCGCAGGACCCAGGGATGGATTGGAGCCGTCAGCCTGAGCAACCGGACGGTTGGAGGCGGGCGGGAGCCCGGAGCTCCGTCCCAGAAGCCCCGAGGGGAAGGGGCCACGCAGGCATCGGTGGGCGCATGGAGGTCCCAGCCTGAGGTCACATAAGAGGCTCTGGAGAAGCCCTGGGAAGAGGCTGGGGTACAACACCCACCTCGTAGGGCTTTTGGGGAGAGAGGGGAATGGGACCGTGTCCAGGCAGCTCAAGGGAGAGCCAGGCCCCTTTCCCTTACCACGGCTCAGGTGGCCCCTGACCTGCCACCTCCATGTATGACCCATTGGGAGGAATCCCCGGGCAGGCCCTGCCCAGCCTGGCCTTGCTTGGGGGTCCAGGGGACCCACTGCTGGCCCATGGACACCGGGACCTGCCCCCTCCTCCCAGAATGCAGACGCCCTGAGTTCAGTCCATCTGGGGACCGTCGTAAGAGATAGACCTGGGGCGGCCCATGTCGGGGAAGGCTGTGCCGCTGGGCAGCTTCTGGGTTCCCTGGGCCACCCTGGCACACGCAGAAGCCCCCAGCCTCATTCCAGGCTGAGGGGGTCTGAGCAGAGCAGCCAGGATCCGACCCCCCGCGGACCCCCGTCCCCAGGGTCCCCTGTGATCGCAGCACCTCCAGAAGGCATCCCTCGCCGCGGCCTTGGTGGTGCTGATTGGACACAGCCGGCCACTGCGCTGACATTGAAAGGTGACCAAGTGCCATGAGCCTGGCTGCCTGGGGCAGAGGCCACCCAGGAGGACCTGGGGCCTCCTGTCTGAGGACAGAGGGAGCAGGCGCGTCCCCAGGCCCCCGCAGCCCGTTGGGAGGCCGCTCACGGGACGCTGAGCTCCGTTTCCTCCACGAGGGTGGAGCCCTGTCCCCGCCC